TGTTCCTGGGTCTTTACACTTCTCAGGCATTGTGGTTCTTTGTTTCTCAAAAAGTGCAGAAACATTCCTACCCATGTTGATTCTTTCATTACCCTTCAGACACCTTCTATGTGTACACAAATCTTTCAAGAACTTGGCGTACTTGGGTATTTGTTTAATTGCCTCCAGCAAGGGTATGTTTACCTCAACTTTTCTGAAAGTGTCCAAGATTTCTTTGTCACTCTCCTCAGCTTTCTTACTTGGTTTGGCAATCATAACCCTTTGAGGGAAAGGTGGTGGAATTGCCCTTTCAGCTTCTTCTACCACTTCTTGAGTGGTGGGTGCATTTTCTTCCTCCCTTTCATCAACCAAGGGGTTTGGGATCTCCTTCTCCCTAGGCATTTCAGGCTCTTGCATTACCTTCCCAGACCGTAGAGTAATTGCACTGACATTCTTTGGGTTTGTGACTGTCTGTGCTGGGAGGTTGCCTGAACCTTGGGACTGAATTTGATTTATAGAGGAAGCCAACTGTCCCATCTGGTTCTCAATTGTTCTGATACTGGCCTCTGTTCGCTGTTGAAAATTAATGTTGCTCATGGCCATTTGCTTCACAAGCTCCTCCAATGATGGCTCATTCTTCTGACAAGAAGAGGCTTGGGATGAGGATGCTTGCTGCTGTTGGTGAGGTTGTTGCCCATGTTGTTGATCATTCCATTGGCGTGGCTGATGTGGCCTACCTTGACCAGCTTGGTAATTGTTGCTTTGCTGATTTTGCTGGTTGGAATTTCCTCCCCACCTCAAGTTTGGATGATTTCTCCAGCCCGGGTTGTACCGGTTTGAAGAAAGATCCCAGTTTGGTTGTTGTTGCTGCTGCTGAAAAGGAAATTTGTTAGTGTAAATATTTTCAGCATAGGCTTGGGGGTTACCTTCAGGAGTATCTGACTCCTGCAATGTGAGGCAGCTGTCTGTATAATGATCTGCAGCTGAGCATATTCCACAAAGTGTAGCTGGAACTGGTGGTGGAGGTGTTGCAGAGATAACATTCTTTTGCATTGCAGCTAATTGCTTTACCATGGAGGCTAGCTCGTCAATCTTGTGCCCCAATTGTTTGGTTCTGTAGCTTGAACTTCATGCACACCTCTAGTAACACAAGAATTCTGTCTAGTTGCAAATTGCTGGGAGTTGGCAGCCATGTTTTCTATCAAGTTCCTGGCTGCCACAGGGGTCTTATCTACCAAAGCTCCTCCACTCGCTGCATCGATCATACTCCTATCCATTGGGTGTAATCCCTCATAGAAGTACTGGATCAGCAATTGATCGCTAATTTGGTGGTGGGGCCAGCTTGCACATAGTCTTTTAAACCTCTCCCAGTATTCATAGAGAGTTTCTCTTTCTAGCTGCCTAATTTCACAAATCTCCTTTCTTATGGATGCAGCTCGGGAGGCCGGAAAGAACTTCTCTAGAAAGAGTCTTTTGAGGTTATTTCAACTTGTTATTGATCCCGGTAGAAGGTAGTACAACCAGTCCTTTGCAATGTCCATTAATGAGAAAGGGAAGGCCTTCAATTTGACATGTTCCTCTGGGACACCTTGTGGTCGCATGGTGGAGCACACAATATGAAACTCCTTCAAGTGTTTGTGAGGGTCTTCACCTGCAAAACCATGGAATTTAGGTAGAAGGTGAATTAATCCAGTTTTCAAAACAAAAGGAGCGTCCACATCTGGATATTCGATGCATAATGTTTGGTATGTGACATCCGGTGCAGCTAGCTCCTTAAGAGTCCTCTCGTCGCCTGCCATTGCTCCAAAACTAGAGTTAAGTGAAAATGGAGAAGAGTAAATAGAATTTGGTGTCACAGATTGCAAAGATGCAGTAGGTGATGATAATGATTCAGAGTGTTCAGAGTGATCCCTATGTGTCCTAAGGTTCCTATAAAAAGTCCTATCAATCTCCTGGTCTAATGGATACAAATCTCCAGGGTTTGATCGGGTCATGCACAAAATATCAACTAACTAAATTGAAAGCAAATTGAGTAAATGAAATGACAAGAACAATTTAAAATTTCTCTGCAGAATTATGCAGCAAAAAGTGCAGAAAAACAGAGAAATATGCAGCAAAATGAGTGCAGAAAATTGAAAGTGAGTGATTGAAAATTTTCAGCACTTGAATGAAGGAAATGATGCAGAAAATCATGCAATGATAATGCAGAAACAGACCATAAAATTCGTATGACTATCAACACAATACAAAAACTCAAAATGAAACAAACGTACTAACATGCAAAACACAAAAACAGAGCACCAATCATGTTCAACATAAGTTCAGCACCAATAATTCCCCGGCAACGGCGCCAATTTGATGAAACGATATTTGAGCTATTCGTCATGCAAAAGATTGTCGTTAATCCTCATCAAATATGCAAAGAAATGAATGCAGTACTAGGGTGTTATCCTAGGTCGTCTCCAAGGAATTTTTGGTTGGGAACATACATCGAACAAGTGTAAACATGTATTTTAAGGCAAGTAAATTGGGGGGAGGTTTGTCAATTTCTGGATTTTAATCAAGAACGAAATGTAAATTAATGAAATTCAATCAATTAAAATGAGTAATCCCTAGTCAAGCAATGAGTTCCATCATTATTCTTTCAAATGATTCAATAATCCCCTTTCTTTCCCTTGAATTAAGTTAATCTAACAAGCGAAGACAAACTTTAACATTCCAATTAAAATTAAGCATCTTAATGGGCTCCAATCTCTATCCCTAAGATTAAGCAACCTCAAGGATTAATTAAAATTAAGCAATTTTGAATTAGAATTTCGTTAGGTAAATTAGGGTTCATTAAGCAATGTTCCCTTCATGCAAATTCCATTTCATTCAGAGATTAGGGTTAATAAATTCAAGGAAAGAAAGATTTGTATTGCAATTAATCCCAAGAATTCAAGATTCATGTGCATTGACTAGGAATTACAAGGAAGTTTAGCCCTCCATATGAATGGGCTTCACAAATGAGAGAAAGAAATGCAAGAACGTAAACATCATTAATGTAAGTTCAACAAAAATCAAAAGAGAAATTGGAAATTAAAACCTATAGAGGACCCTTGGCTGTCACCCAAGACTCCAATGTCGTAAGAAATTATCCCAATTTGGCAAGGAAAAATTGTGTAAAGTGTCAAAAGTCCCATACCCTAATTCCTAAAATCTATTTATAGTGGATGACATGTCACCAAATTGTCCACTTTGGGCCTTGAAAGTGTCCACGCGCAGGATGGAAGGAATGCCGCTTCTCTGGAGTTGCCACTATTTGTGCTGAAAGTAGCTACTTTGGTGCGCGTGGTTACTTTGAGAGCCAATAGTAGCCACGCGCAGGAAGGCTTCAAAATCAGCGTCCTGAAGCTTCTGAAGTTGCCACTTTTGGTTCTTGAAAGTGGCTACTTTGGATGCGCGTAGCCACTTTGAAAGGCAATAGTGGCCACGCGCATCATGCTTCCAATTTAGCGTCCCTGGAGCTTCTGGAGTTGCCACTTTTGGTCTTGAAAGTGACTACTTTGGAACTTTTAATGCCCAGACTTGCTGTAGTTGCCACTTTTGCTCCTAAAAGTGGCTACTTTGGGGCAACTTTCATCCAAGGACCAAGATTTCTCAAATTTAACTTGGGCACTCTGCAAAATCATCAAGATAATTAAAATTGCAATCTATATCTATGTAATTAAATGCAAATTAACCAAAAATTAATAAACCTATGATATTTACTCAAAATGTGATTTCTATATTATTTTCACTATCTAAGTCCATTTTTTCTATCAAAAAGCACCAAAAAGGCAAGTAAAAATATAATAAAAAGTGGATTCATCATTATGAAAATTCTTTGGTTACGCAAGAACCTTATTTTTGAAGGGAAGTCTTTGATTATCCAGGCCAGGACATTGCTCGGACCATTTGGGCGAAGTACAGGGAAATAGTTCATGCAATTCAGCCAACTTCATCGATTCTGCAGCAATAATCTTCCTATGAGGGTAGAAGTATTAAGTGAAGTTGCCCTCCTACAAATTGGATTAAAGTCAACACTGACGGATCATTCGTCAAAGAAACGAACCAAACTACGTGTGGAGGCGTGTTAAGAGATGGAAATGGCGATTTCATTAGTGCCTTTGCATGTAAAATGAGTTCCTGCTCAATTACAAATGCTGAACTGTGGAGAATCTATCATGGTGTGAAGATTGCACTGGATCATAGCTTTAACAGAGTTATTATTGAAGCAGACTCCTCTTATGCAGTCAGATTTGTGAACTTTGGTTGCTATTCATCTCACCTCTGTTATTCGATAGTCAACGCTATTAAGTGTCTGATGCAACGCGGAGAGTTTTTGTGTGTCCATATCCTCCGGAAAGCAAACTTCGTTGCTGACACTATGTCTAAATTTGGTCATGAAATGCGTTGTAATTTTAATTTTTTTGAGTCTGTCTGCATTAGTTTACCTTTGTTAGCACACAGATGGAGTACTAAGTTTGCTAAAGGAAGTTAGTCTTATCCTGTTTTCTGATTTAGGCTTTTAGCCTGTTTGAGTCATAAAAAAAAAGTATAGCGATTAGTTAAATTAGTTTCTTATTACTTTCAAAAGTGAAATTTTTTATTTCTTAAAATATTTTATTATTTGAATAATAATAATAATAATAATAATAATTAAATTTTAATTTTTTAATACATTAAAAATTTATAATTTTAAATAAATTATTAAATCTACATTAAAGATTAAAAATATTATATTTAATTCAATTCAAATTTTAAAATTAAAGTTAAATATTTTTTCAAACAAGTTAAAATTAGATTGATACTAGCTCTATAATTAATTATAACGTACAAATTTTGGTTTAAACAATACTAAATAAAGCCAAATTTTTCTTAATTTGTTTTTTGGTTCTACCCTTATATTTTAGGAATTATTACCATTTTTAAACCTGTAGTGAATGAAATATTAATAAAAAATCTCTGTAACTATCAATCATCCATGAAAAATCCAAATTAACGAAGAAAATGAGCACAGCCATAAATAAATAGTGTCTGGGCGCGTTCTTTCGTTGGTTCTCTCAACTACCATCGTCCATGGCGGTTTCGGGGTTGAGAGGCAATGGTTTGCCTTTGTTCCATCATCGGTTCCTTCCATCTCCTCCTTCCTTTGCGAAGCTCAGCGTTCTTCGTTCCAAGCCAAAGGCCTTCACTCTCTTCGCTCGCTATGCGCAAGCACAAGACCTCTTCTCCTCTCGTCGATTCCAAGGTTCCTTCTGAAACCTTCCATTTCATTTTTTTCTCCTTCTTCTTCAATTTTTAACGAATTGCGGAAATTTGACTCAGATAGCATGGAACAATTGCCGAAGCTGGTGGAAGACATTGTTCAGACATCCTTAAACACTGGTCCTAGGGGTGTTCTTAGGTTGGCTCAAGGACTTCAAGCCTTCATTGGCGTTGGTCAAGAGTGGTTAACTGATGTCTCTAAGGTAACAAGTAACCACCACAACATTCACACTGGTTAAAGTATAAATAAAGAGTTTAAAGTAGTTAATAAATGTATGATTTTGTCCCTAAAAGTACAAAATTGAGTTGATTATTGGTTTTGGAAATTTTTGTGTATTCAATTTAGTACTTGAGTTTGTCAGTTTCATAACAATTTAGTGAAGTTGACCAAATTTTGGGCTAAATGAATATATTGTGAAGGTGATAGAATCGGAGCCTAAATTGTATGTATGCAACTTTCAGGGATTGAATAAAAGGCGGGTTGTCTTTTCCAGTGATGAAATTGCATATTTTATTTACTAAAAAAGACATATTTATTATGTCAAACACTAAAGCATTTGTTGGCAGGATATGTTATGTTTAACGTTTGTAGCTGAGTTGTGGATAAATGCATTTTGTCTTCTTAGTGAGAGAATATAGTTTTCACTTTTAAGTTAGCCCATGGCCATTTTATAGTTTGTGGTATCATATAGTATGCATTTTAGAGGAGGATATTTCTTTGAACGATGTACTGTAGGAAACAATTTTACTGTGTATGTGTGAAGTCTGAGATATCTTGCTGGTGTGTACATCACCAGCACTTTGTTTTCCTATTTTTTTTTTTAAATAAATTATGCATCTGCTCCTGCTTCCTTTTGAATAATAGTTAGTAATCTTTTACTTCTCTGTTAATATATTTCTTTTCTTGTGTTTCTATTGAAAAATTTGGACAGAGTTATTAACTCTCTTGCATCATTTGTAGTCAACAAATTCAACTGCCGGGTTACCAACTGATATGCAGCTACTCTCTCCCTTTTATTTGAGGAGGTTGTTTGAGCGCATGGGCGCAACCTACATCAAATTAGGTCAGGTATGAGTGGATTTCCCTACTTCCTCCTCCTGCTTTCCAGTGGTGTTCTATAGGGTTATTTCTTAAGTCAAAAATGATTATCCTGGTTTGTTTCAGTATAAAATGATTTAGTAATCAATATCCAATTATTTACAGTTTGGGAAGAGTAATGCAGGTTATAGATAAAGTTTTATAACCACTTGATATGTTCATTTTCTCAATACAGATGTTCTTTCCTAATTTGATAGTTGATCTTCTTTATAACATGCACCTTTATGCTGATGGTTATATTCGGTTTCTGCTTGGTAGTTCATAGCATCAGCACCGACACTGTTTCCATCTGAGTATGTACAAGAATTCCAAAATTGTTTTGACAGAGCTCCTCCTGTACCTTTTGAGGAAATTCAATTTATTTTGCGTAAGGAACTTGGAAAACCACTAGAGAGTATTTACGAATATGTTGACCCAACACCCATTGCTTCTGCTTCTATAGCACAGGTATATCTTGTATGCCTATCTTTTTCTTTCAAGAACTCTCTATCTAGATTACCTTGTGGCTGCTAATGCTATTGGCATATATTACATCTAGGTTCACGGTGCACGGTTGAAAGGCTCTCAGGAGGATGTGGTTATAAAGGTCTTAAAACCAGGAATTGAGGACGTATTGGTGGCAGATCTTAACTTTGTTTATGTTGTTGCTCGGATACTGGAGTTCTTGAATCCTGAAATAAGCCGGACATCACTGGTATAAGCAACATGGACACTTTTACCACTATGCGGATATTTTTGCTACAGCATTAAAATACTTTTGTTATTTTTTGAAGTATCCATTCCCAAACACTGAAGTAAAATTCTGAACTATGTTGCCTTTTTATTTGTTGTCCTTTCTTCTCGGCCCTTGTACTAAATTCATTGTTCTTTCTAGTTTCTTATATAGAAAAGGAAACTTAGAATTTCTTTATTCACATTTTTTGTTATTATTGATTTCTTCATTGTAAAAATGGTAATGGCCAGAATTTTCTTGTAATATGAGCATTTTTTTAGTAGGTTGGTATTGTCAAAGACATACGGGAGTCTATGCTTGAAGAAGTTGACTTTTACAAGGAGGCTGCAAATATTGAGGCTTTCAGGAGATATTTAGAAACAATGGGACTCACAGGGGATGCAACAGCTCCAAAAGTGTATCAGTACTGCAGTACACAGAAAGTTTTAACTATGGAAAGACTATATGGAGTTCCTCTTACTGACCTAGAATCCATAAGCTCATTTGTTTCTAATCCAGAAACCAGCCTTATAACTGCCCTCAATGTGTGGTATGACTCAGAAATCCTATTTTGCAGCTATTGTCCCTGTGCCTTCCCCTTTTAACACAAACTTGTGTATCTTGGTATAAAATGTTGTTGCAGGTTTGGAAGTTTGCTTTCATGTGAATCTTTTCATGCAGATGTACATGCAGGAAATCTGTGGCTTCTACGTGATGGCCGGATTGGATTTCTTGACTTCGGTATGCTTTATCTTTTTCATGCATATTTACAGATAGCTTTAATGAAGCTGTATTTTTCTGTAGTGAATTTGTTGTCTGTTAAATAGTGTTCCAAAATAGTCTATACGTTTTAGTTGAAATTTAAGTTTTCTTACATGTTTCCATAGACCATTTTATTTTTTGCTATGCTTATTGCAGGGCATCTTCATCTTGCAAACTCTAATCACTGTTGCTTTGCTTTATTCTTTTACGAGTTCACTTTGTCTTTTTTCTTCTAAAAAAAGTTGTACAGAATTCTGTTAATATATGCATGTGTGAGAGAGAAGTTCTGTGTTACAAGATTCAATCTACCTTCTATAAAAATAATCAATCTACAGGAATTGTTGGCCGTATATCCCCCAAAACGTGGGCTGCTATGGAAGTCTTCTTGGGATCAATTGCCATTGAAGATTATGGTTCAATGGCTTCTGCCTTAATTGAAATGGGTGCTACAAACAAGGATGTTGATGCTAAGGCTTTTGCCAAAGACTTGGAAAAAGTATTCTCATCAATTAAGGCAAGTATCGTAACTCATGTTTTACTCACTATTAGTTGTATGTGTGACTATATTGGTGAATGTGTATGTATTTCACTAATTTGAAGAACCCATTTCAGTTTTTATACTGGTGGCACCCAAATTATAATGTGCATTTTGTGTTTTAATCTTGATCAGTCATGCAAAATTCAATGTTTGGGATTTTCTCTGCTCACTCACAGTAGGATATACCATTGCTCTCATGTGTAATGCTTCCTCTACGATTTGGATCCTCTCATTCAAGTGTTTCACATGACAGGGTTACATGGAGTGAGACTTACACCATACATGTGATAAAATGTGTAGGGACCTGTGCAGTGTCTTCGTATATCTATCACTCACTGCACCAACATAGTCACGAGAAAATTGATGAATAATTAATTATGTATGGATATGTGTGTGTGAATTTGTTGGAGAATTGATTGTAAACAATGTTCAATATTTAGGTAAGAAAAATTAAGATCTCTTATCTATTGGGGTGGTTTATATTCGTATATCTTCTGAATACTGGGGTTAGGCTGGATTAATATAGGGGTCTTATTATATTAATAATCTAGTAGGCAAAGATCTGGAAAAGGTATTTTCTCCGTCGTTGTATAGAAGTCCTTTCATCATTGAGTGACTGATTTTTCAACATTACACGTATAATGTGGCCTAAGGCCCAAGCCCAGTTTAGTGTTGTTGCTTACATGTTTGCATTTGTGCTCACTATGCAACTGCAGGAGTTGGACACTGAAATAGTTGTAGCTGCTGCAAGTGGAACAACCACAAACGCAACTGCTGTCTCTGCTAATATAATTGTTGATGAGAGGCAGATGAATGCACTCTTTCTTGATGTGGTGAGCTATTTTAAATTGAACTAACTGCAACCCAAAGACAACTTGTATGTCTATATAAAAGGTTCAAAGTCTCGTTGTTAAATACTGGCATTTGAATTGATAGACATTTAGAGTTTTGCTACTTTCAAAGCAACATAATGATTCATGCTTCTTTTCTGTTTGGACAAACTATGATGATGCTTTAAAATTGCTCTGATATTCTGTAAGTGTGCATCTCTTGAACATAATTTAATACAGCATATGGTAATGGTACCGGTGATATTTGAATTTTTTAAGCCAAAATCCAAAAGTCTATTTCTTCAACAAGAAATATGATTTTGGATAAACATGAGAAATTTTCATATTTATGTAGGTCAAACATGCAACATTCTGTAATCGTAAAATTTGAAATTAGATGGATCCCGTTTCCATCTATACAAGTGATCCTCCTTAACTGAAGAATTTCTTATTTTAGCTGTTTGATGAAAGCTAGTTATTTATATAGTAGTAGTGCTTATGTTTTCTGTGTTCTACAGGTTCAGGTAAGCGAATCATATGGATTAAAGTTTCCTCGAGAATTTGCACTTCTTCTGAAGCAGCTCTTGTACTTTGACCGGTACACCCGTTTGTTGGCACCCGATTTGAACATGCTTCGGGATCAGAGAATTTCCATTGCCTCCAATAGAAGAAGCAGATATAGAGACAATTTTTAATGAGTCAGTACACAAAATATAGATGTACCCCATTTTAGTTCTAAAGATTTTATTTGTATTATTACTTTGGTATATAAATAAAATAATCCGTAGTTGTCGTGAGAGCCTAGCTCACTTGATTGCGATATTTGTTTGCTAGTTCTCGGGATGGATTTCAACATCCTTGAAGACGCTCTTTTCTGCACTTCTTTTAATGTCAAAGCTCTTGTTGACTTGACCTGGCTCCTGTCGTATCCTTTTGTTGGGAATGTGATCCATTTTGAAGGTTGGTATCGGATATAGTTGTTAATTTAAAATTAACGATTATAATATGTGATAAAATTTATGCATATATATATATATATATGTTAATTTATAAACTTAAAATCACCAACGTTGATTTCAATCAACTGGTATAATTCTATACTTGATTCTTTAAAGAGCATCCATAGGAGGCAAATCCATGAAATAGAAATGCAAACAAATTAGTAGAAACTGGTCAACAAAATTCCTTATTCCTATAGGACTAGATATTACTGCCAAACATGTGATCAGAAAATGGTATTGAAAGCAATCAAAACCATGCATTCTATCGAGATTTTATCAATAAAAAAGTTTTTGTGTTTGGTCAAGTTTATTTTGCATAAATGATGATTTTCTTCTAACTTTTTGATAGCTATTTAAAAAAGTAATTTTTTAGGCGATACCAATTATTATCAGGACCTTGGCCTGGGGTAATATACACCCTAAATTGGATAAGATAAAATCACACGATAGCACTAATTGAGCAATCAGCATTGCTCTTCTTTGCTTTTGCTGCCGTCATTTGCTTGTGTAGATCTTTACGCAATTCATCTTGAAATTCAAGTGAGAGCTTCATCTTTTTGCCAAGTTAAATTTACAAAGTCAGGTGTTGATCGTTATCAGGAAGCGACACTCATTGTATATAAAAGATTTACTATGACTTTAAGAGAACAAAATTTTAAAATACACACAATAATTACTGCTATACACACCAAAATCATGTTTTTACAAGAATTATATTTTCAGCATCTGTTGCCAAACTGTTACACAGAAAATTGAATAATGGGGCTAATGAATCTGCTTCTAATACACATTGTAGAGCAACAAGTCAATCTTATTGCCAGTTCAAGAAAACTAACTAAACAAAACAACTCATTGTATGTATGATGCATCATCACTACATCCCAAATTCAGATAAAGGACCCCCGTGCCGGTTCTTGATTTTCCCGGCATCACTTTAGATTCACCGTAAATAAATAGAATAAACATAATTGTCATTTGAGCCAATGCATGACATTTCAGCTCTGTTGAGAGTTATGACTCAGATCCTTTTCCCCATTGAGTATCTGCTCTTTTCCTTCACCAGAGGATGGCATTGGAACCCCTCTTATCACTTGACTTGGTGAGGAATAACCCATCAGATGATGAAGTGATGAACTTTTGGGTTCCAAACGGGCCTCCACTTCTGATGACATATTGGAGTTCACAGCTACTTCATCCGTTTCAACTGGAGCCTTACTTGTACTAGGACCTCTTGAAGAAATTTTCTCCTCATCTGTTTTAGGCTCAAAGGTGCCAGAAGAGACGGTAGGCTTATCATATGCACTGCCATTCAAGGGATTTGATGGCGTTACAGAAACAGGATCTCCTTCTGAGGAGTAGCTTTTATTGACAGAATTGGCATAATCATCAGAATATGAAATGTGGTTTACTTGGGGAGAATGATAGTGGTTGGCATGAGATTCTGAAAGTGGATTGCTGCCAACTATCACCTTGTTTTGGTCATCAAGGTCACTTGATGTGGGCCCTAGAGCATTTGGTGCATAAGAGACTATAAGGCTTCTGTTCTGCAGAGAAAATTTGAGTACCTCTTGACATGCCCCACATTTGAGCTGGTGCATTACCCTTTTAAAAAGGAGGAAATCTGCAGGTAGTTGCAGCAGCTTTAAGCATTTATGACAAGTGACAAATGGTGCTCCACCTGCTACTGGCCGGTAATGTCGCTTAGTCATGCTCGGTTTTTCCCTAAAATATTTCTTCACCTCGGGAGCCATGTACCTCTGATCACAAGATTTTGCTTCACGGCCATTTACTAGGAGTTTAGAGGTCATTAACCATTGTGGACTTGAAGGATAGGAATGGTGAGATAAGCAACAACTGTGACCTGGATGGGGCCTACATAACTCCTCATATTGATAAGGAACAGGTGGAAGCAACTCTGCTGAGCATTGCCACTCTTGGGGACAGCAATGGAAACAAGACTGATCAACATGGTGTGTGCTGCTTGTTGGCTCAGCTAAATAAGGTACCTGTGAAAATTTATGCTTTTGGCTCCAGTTGATTCCATGACTACATCTTCCATCACACCTAGGGTAATCGAGACCATGATAAAATCTTCTTTCATGAAGATCATGGCTTTGGTATGCAGAAATATGATTTCCCATGGACAATTTTCCATTTGTTTCCCCCCCATTTGCGTAGCTGGTTCTGTTGAGTTGATCCTGCAATTTATAAACCATTCTCAATAGCTTCATCTTCTCCTGGTTGGGCTCCTCATAGGAGTCAGGTGAAAGGTAGCTTGAACTGTAGTAGAAATCATCATGAGTTTGATGAGATGGGCTGCCACTTTCATAGCCAGAATGAGAACCACTTCGATGGTGAGGCAATCTGGATGGAAACTCATCTTTCTCTGTTCTCATCCAATGTGCATGACCATGTCTTATAGTCTCTGGCACTTCGTTTTGATTCCCCCTGTTGTCTTCTGGGACATGAAGCTTTCCCTTGGGAAAATATGATTGGTTTTGTGTTTCAATATCTCCATATAACACGTTATTAACAAGGCCTTTTCCCTTTCTGGATCCTCCCTCAGAAACATCATTGGCAACAGTGCAAGCATTCTCAAAAGAATCTAAATATTGACTAGGGAACCGCTCATCCACCCCATCATTTGAAGAGACACTGCCATCATAAGCATGAGAGCTTCGAGTGGTTGGAGATTTAGAGAATTCTCCAAGAGTACCACTAATCTCTGAACTGGGATTAATTTCTTCTGTGTTATCAAATGTATTCACCGATCTTAGACGATCAAAGCTATGGTGAATATTTTTGGAAGATACATGATTACCAGATGTACCTTCTTCAAGGTTACTAGTACAAGCATGTGAAATGCTTCCTTCGGTACTTGACCTTTTGGCAGTAGATGCATTTCCTGTAATGTTGTCCACTTCAGATTTTGCACCAACTAGAGCTGATTGGCTATGTTTAGGATCTTCACCATCTGATACACGCACATTCAACTCCTCTTCTGTTACCTCTAATAACAAGTTTCCACTATTTAACTCTTCTGTTCCTTCTTTATAGCTTCCATTAATGTCCACTTTAGGGTTTGTATCAACTAGAGCTGATTTGTCATGTAAGACTTCTCTGTCTGAACCAGAAATTAACTCTTGTTCTGCTCCTTCTAATAACAAGTTTGCATTATTCAACTCTTGGGTTCCTTCTAAATCGTTTCTGGCAACATGCACTACAGACTTTAGCCTTGATTTCTCATCATTTACATCATCTTTATCCAATTCACTAAACAACTGTGCTCCTGCTCCATCTAATGGCACATTTCCATTACATAGATCTTCTCCTTCTGGTTGCAAGTTTGTATCATTTTCCTTTTCCACTGAATTATCTGCCATCCATTCTGCTGAAGCCTCATTCTCAAAGTGAGTTATCTCAACTGAGCAACCATTGTTGGACACTGTATGCTTTCTCATATCTGATAATTTATAGATATCCATCTGGTTTTCCAATTCTCCATTGGATAAGTTGAACTGTCCAAGCTGTTCTCCATTGCATTCACCATTTTCAATTTGATCCTTTCCTCTATTTCCATTCAAAGAACATTCACCTGAGGAAGAGTTAGTTGCCTTTGCCCTCAAACCATTCTCCTGAGAAATAACTAGCTGCTCTCCATTGCATTCACCATTTTCAATTTGATCCATTCCACCTTTTCCATTTATAGAACCATCTCCTGAGTAACAACTAGTTGTGTTTTCCCTCAGATCATTCTCCTTCAAAATAACTAGCTTCTCTCCATTGCATTCACCATTTTCAATTTGATCCATGCCACCTTTTCCATTTATAGAACCATCTCCTGAGTAACAACTAGTTGTGTTTTCCCTCAGATCATTCTCCTTCAAAATAACTTGCTGCTCTCTATTGCACTCACCATTTTCAATTTGATCCCTTCCACCATTTCCATTCAAAGAACATTCTCCTGGGGAAGAACTAGTTTCCTTTGCCCACAAACCATTCCCCTGAGAAGTAACTAGCTGCTCTCCACTGCATTCACCATTTTCACTCTGATCCCTTCCACCATTTCCGTTCAAAGAACATTCACCTGAGGAAGAACTAGTTGCCTTTTCCCTCAGACCATTCTCCTGAGAAGTAACTAGCTGCTCTCCACTGCATTCCCCATTATCAATTTGATCCCTTCCACCATTTCCATTCAAAGAAAATTCTCCCAAGGAAGAACTGGATACTTTTGCCCTCAAACCATTCTCCTGAGAAATGACTGGCTGCTCTCCATTGCATTCACCATTTTCTGTTCGATCCTTTAAAATATTTCCATTCGAAGAACATTCTTCTGAGGAAGAACTAGTTTCTTTTTCCCTCAAACTATTCACTTGAGAAGTGACTAGCTGCTCTTCATTGCACTCACCACTTTCAATTTGACCCCTTCTATCATTTCCATCCAAAGAACATTCTCCTGAGGAAGAACTTGTTGCTTTTTTCCTTAAACCATTCTCCTGACGACTAACTAGCTTCTCTCCATTGCTGTATTGTTTATCATCAGCTTTAGGGTCCAATGCGTTTGTAGGAGCTGCACCAGTTTTATGTGTACTGGATTCTGAGTTGATAGACCTACTTCTTCGTTTCTTAGCTGTTTAAGAACAATGAAATGATTTCAGTTGTATATTAAAAAACTATTAAGAGTTATATGCATTAGAATTAGTAACCTTATTTGTATACTAATATTGCATAAAAAAATTAATACACATATAAGAGGTAGTTAATAGATTGGAGCAGTAGTATTTGCTACACTGAGTTGAAAATAATTTATTCTAGCAAGACTTTTATATCAATCAATCAAAGAGAATAAATCATAAAAAAACAAAAAATTGGTTTGTGCAAGTTCACAAGAAAATAATAACTCAAGCACAATATGTAGGAGCACAGCAGACAACAAGTGCGACAGCCATAAACTTTACAGATGGAAATTATTACTCCAATGTTTCTCAAGAGAATAAAATCCTAAAAGTAAAAATCATATACAACAACCTTGAAGAGTTGTGCCACATCCACCACACTTGTACACATCAAAATCTGGATTCTCCTGAAGAAGCTGCCGGCACCTAGGACATAATACTAATCGAGGTTTGGGAGCTGATTCACCAGACATCTTACTCCAAACTTAAATTACTGTTCCAAGATTGAAATTTTGGTTACAGATTTGCACAGCAGATCTCAGAGTGAAAAACCAAATCCACTCAAATCATTCTGCTTGGACCACTGTAAATGCAAAAAACAAAGCTCTCCCTAGCTTCCACTGTCTGCATCAGATAAGATTGAAGGTTAACTCAGATTCTCAAAAACAAATGTCCCGTTAATTATGTAAAAAAAGAAGAGTATAATACTCAAGAAAATGGAACAGACCTAAGAAGCTGCAAGATGCAGCAAATCAACAAAAAATATAGATAATAAAAACGCTCTGTTCATATTTAGGCAGTTTTGACAAAGTAACTTTACGGATCTTGAATCAGCTAACTCTATCAACCAAAATTTAGCAGAAACTACACATCACTACTATCAAGATACACCAACTACTGAAATAAATGTTTTCCAGAATAGGAAATACTCTTTGCAAGGACCATATTCCAAAATTTGGAAGCAAACCCATAATTCCAAGACTACATACTTTTCCATGCTTCCATGCTCTATGGACTACATAAAACGAGAGATTTCATAGCATTCAAACCCTCAAAACCTCATCTTCAACTAGTAATTTAGAAATTATTTACCACTTTTCTTATATTCTAATCAATGGCACACGGTTATGACGAAATTCAAATTAACTCTTGTAAGTCTAAAAGTGACAAAAACCAAAATAAATAAATAAAAAAATAGAAGGAAAAGAACAGAGAATAAGTTAAATTTCGGAGAACAAAAAATTATAAGTTCACATTATCACTTACACAAATAGAATCGTGAATTAGCTCGTAAGCATATACATCAAACATCTTAAATAATCTCACAAAATAAGCTGAACTCATGGTGGAATTTGCGGCACGCATTAAATTTAACATAGCAAAAGAGAACCCCAACCCAACCAACAATAAAATCAAAATTCACACCCATTATACGTAAAAGCTTTCGAAAGAAACAACGTTTCAAAATATGCAAACCCACACAAAAAAAATTGAAAACCCATTTTCCTTTTCTTCCAAAAAACGATTTTATTTTATTTTTATAAAGCAGGGGTAAACAAGGAGAGAGAAAAAAAGAACAGAGAGATTCACCCACCTGAAGAACCAAGCAAGGTAACCACTTCATATACAGCCCCACAACAGCCTCAGCTCGCAGGTTAGATTAGATCAGAGAAGAAGGAAAATTGAAAGAGATAGAGAGAGAGAGAGAGAGAGAGAGAGAGAGAGAGGATATTAAAAGAAAAAAAGGTGAGAATTGAAAGAAAATGATGAGTGGATGAATGAAACGAAGGTGGCGCGAAAGTGGATTGGACCCAAAATGAGAAATCTTTAGTTTTCCGCGAAGCTTTTTGTTTTGTCAAAGAATAATAGAGAGAGAGAGAGAGCGACAGACACAGCTTCTTTCGTTGTTTGTTTCAATATTTGTTCCTTCGGTCAACTCTTCCAAGTCTGACCCAGAAACAGAGAAAATGGATCCGGTGTAGCAGCTGCAATTTCAGTTCCATGGTCTTGTGAGCTCAACCTTATTTTTCTTCTTCTTCTTCTTCTTCCTTCTCTTACGTTGGTGTTGTAATCATGTGTTGGTGTTGTTTGTTGTGCTGTGTTGTGTGGGAAAAGTGATAAAAGTGAAAGTGATAGCAACAGCACTACGAGGCGTTCTGGAGTCGGCGCTTTTCCCATTTAAAGCGTAGCCAAACCAACCAACCTCCAACTGTATACGTGGCAGTGTGGGTCCCACTCTTTCTGACTTTTACCACATTTCGTGGGTTGATTGATCATTTCGTTTTCTCGCCAGCTGAGATAATCCCTTACGCATTTCTCATTTTCATTTCGGTTGCATCTCATTCACAATCATCTACTTCACATCCACCCAATTCGTTACTTCTTTCAAACTTTTAATAATAATCAATGATAAAACTTATTTATTTTTTATAAATAATTATAAAATTGAAAATTATTTTTTTATAATTATTTAGTATATTTATTAATTGTATATTTAATAACACTAATAAAAATTTAATAATTAATAAATTTTAAAATTATATTTTATTTTTATAAAAAGATTAGAGAGAATACTAACGAAGTGATAACTATCATTGAATAATAAGTTGAACAAGTAGATAGAACTTTTAAGAACTAAAATAATATTAATATAAATAATCTTTTAATTTTGTTTAATATATATTAAAAAGTTAAAATAATATTATTTTCAAATTATAAAAATAAATTTTATAATAATTTTAATTAGTTATTAAAATATATAATATTTTGAAACATATATTTGAATAACCATTCTTTAAAGAAGTGTATTAGAAAATAAATTTTGGCAATAAAACAGTATGATATGATTGGTTGTCGTGTTTTCCGATGAATGGAAGATTCTGAAAGTATATATCAAAATCAGTGCTCTCTCCATTTTCGGACTCGATATTGCAAACAGAGCATCCTTTACTTTACTTTTACCAACTTTTCATTTTTAATTTTTACTTAATTAGTACAATAGTTAAACAATTAAAAAATAGAAAAATTATCTAAAATTGTAATATTTGTTATTGTTAATATATTCTTATTATGATTTTTAGTATATTAATTTATTAAAACTTAAAAATAAAAATTTATTATTAATATTTGACATTGTTAATTTCTTGTTATAATTTTTAGTATATTAATTTATTGTTAATGTAATATTTAATATTGTTATTGTATTCCTGTTATGTTTAATATTGTTATATATTAATTTTTTTATATTTATTTATATATCTAATAAACTAGAAAATGTGAGATTTACTAACCAAAGTAGCACTTAAAAAATAACACACAGAATATTTTATTAAAAGTAATGATAAAATCAATTAAAAATTATGAAAGATGTTTTGATAATGACTTTTACAAAGGATTTTTCTTAATTTTTTACGTGCATTTAAAACATATTTCACTTTCTTAAAATGTTATAAGTACCTATAAATTTAGTTCTTATTTTTTTAACATTATAAAAAAATCTGATCGTATTAAAATTTAAAAAGTTAAAACTTAAGTAATATTGCTGACATTGTTTTTCAATTAGAGTTGAATTTTTACTTTAATAATCTATATAATAAAATCTGACATTAAAAAGCATATCAGCATTAAAAGTTAATATATATGAGATAAAAAATTAATTTTGCTTGGATAATAATTATTATGAAATTTTATTTAAATATTATCTTTTTAAAATTATAAACAATTATTAATTAAAATTTTAAAATTATAAAAAATTATGATATTTGAATTGATCATAAATCAACTAATTTATTTTCTTCCATTAATTTATGTAAAATTCATGTCTAACATATTCATTAAATGTCAACATGGTGCACGTTCATAAACTTTTTTTAAAATTATATAAAATAATATACAAAATTAGTAAATAAAAAGTCATGAATAGTTATGTAAGTATTATATTAACACTTAGTCTAACTTATACAGTGCCATTAAATGAATTTTATAAAAAAATATAATTATTTTAATAACTATTTTTTATTTTAAAAATTAAAATAACGAATATCTAAAATTTTTATAATTAAAATAAATAATTTGTAATATATTTAAGAATAAAAATAATTTTAAAATTAAAATAACACGTGTCTAAGATTTTAAAGATTAAAAAATAAAATATGACTCCCTAAAAACACTGTTATGGAATGAAATCAAAATTTAAAGGATAAGATTAAGAAATTAATATTTATTTTTGATAGATTGAGAAATTTATTTGGTTAGAAAATTTTAAGGCAAAGATAAGATATACACAATAACACAACAAGATGGAAAATGAATGAAAAGTTATATCTATCTATGAGTTATAACACGTGGCCTTCTATCTTTATATAAATATTATGAATTTTTGTTAACCTCAGCTCACTAACTAATAATATTAAAATGTTATTAAAAAGAAATATATTTACTATATTTTTATAAATTTAATATAATAATTATATTTTTTTATAAAATTTTTTTATTTATAAATACTTAAATTCAACTCAACTGAGATTAACAAAATCTAAATATTATAAACTTTTAATCTTTAAATTATGTTAATTTTTTTCATAATTTTTCAAAACTTTAAGTCTTTCGCTGAAATCAAAATGTTTTACATAATTATCTAAATATTAGAACTAATCTTTTAATTATAAGAATTATATGCAATTGAGCAAACAATAGCTTATTATATAATTTTATTTAAAAAGATATTTTGATTTTATAATTTAAATATGTACTTAACTCATATTTTATATATTGACAAATTTATTTAAATATTGTTATTTTAAAAATAATTTATCACTTTATACTTAATCTGAAACTATTTCTTAATCTGAATTTTTCTTGCCAAGTGAACCTGTATTTTGCTATAACAGCTAGCGAAAGTATTTTATTTTTAAATTTTTTATATATTTATTTCACCAACAAAATTGTGAAATAAATAGGAATTTGACACGTGTCACAGATATAAGAATTTCACAAATTAAATGGTAAAAATATATTTTTTAAATTATTTTTAAATAACTTTCGTCACGTTATTGGCAGAACAAACAACAGGCTAACATGTGTCAACAAGTTATCTAAAATAGTGATTTTGGTGAAATTCATAAAAAAAACCGCCAACGAATGTGCGAAACTTACAGAATGAAAAATGCTACGAGTCACCTAGCGCCCAATAATTCGGCAAATTTATTATAATATTGTAAATTAAAAAATAATTTATTATTTTATAGCAAATTTGAAACAATTTCCCAATCTAGAGTTTTTTTGCCACGTGGATCAAATTTTCGCCAAACGGCTGGCGAAAGTAATTAATTTTTGAATTTTTTAATACGAAATATGACTTCTTAGAGCGGTTAATTTAAAACCGCTCTCATAAGTCAAGTTTAGAGAGAGGTTCAAAAGGAACCGCTCTCAGTATTCTATCTTAGAGAGCGGTTCCTTTTGAACCGCTCTCATAACTCAATTTTAGAGAGCGGTTCAAAAGGCACCGCTCTCATAACTCATTTTAGAGAGCGGTTAATTTTGAACCGCTCTCTTAGGTATATACAGCCATATAAATTTTATATAAATACAAAACTCTAATTACTAGCATAAAATTAAAAAAAAATTTTTTTTTTCATATTTCCAATTTAAATCTACATAAATTACATTTAATTTATAATTATATAAAAACTATTACGTTTTTTAAAGTAAAAAATATTATTATTTACATACAAATTTTATTTAAATACAAAACTCTACTTACTGCATAAAATTAAATTACATTTTTATTTTTTTATATTTCTAATTTAAATCTACATAAATTTTATATAAATACAAAACTCTAATTACTAGCATAAAATTAAATTATATTTTTATTTTTTCATTTTTCTAATTTAAATTTACATATATTACATTTAGTTTATAATCATATAAATTATATTACGTTTTTAAAAGTAAAAAATTTTATTATTTACATACAAATTTTATACATACATTTCATATAAATTATGATTACTGCATTTAAAATTTTACAATTTTAAAATTTTACTTCAATATAAGTGTAAAAATTATTTATTACAATCAAACTAAGTATAAATTATTATATTTAGTTTTATATAATTATTTTATTTAATTCAATTTTTATTATTCTATATTTTAATAAATATCTATAATAATTCTTGTAAACAAATTTTATAAATCTTAATTTAACCTATCTTCTTAACAAGGCAAAACATGTATCAAGGATCGGTTTCGCTAGCTGCAGAGCGAAATAAACTTTCGCCAGTAGCAGTGCGAATAATCTCAGATGTTGCCACGTGTATCAAAATCTCGAATCATCTCAAATGTTGCCACGTGTATCAAAATCTCTCCAGCCGTTCATTTTAAATCTAAGAGAGCAGTTCTGCTAGAACCGCTCTCTAATATGTACTTCTGCTCTCTAATATGTACTTCTGAACCGCTCTCTAAAATAGAATACTAAGAGCGGTTCAACCGCTCTCTAAAATAGACTTATGAGAGCGGTTTTAAATTAACCGCTCTAAGAAGTCATATTTCGTAAAAATACAAAAATTAATTACTTTCGCCAGCCGTTTGGCAAAAATTTGATCCACGTGGCAAAAAAACTCCAAATTGAAAAATTGTTTCAAATTTGCTATAAAATAATAAATTATTTTTTAATTTACAATATTATAATAAATTTGCCATAAATTCTGCTAATCAGGTCAACAGCACATCTACAATACTAAACTCTCGTCATGATACATGTGAAACTGCAACAAACTTCGCGTTGAATCAATAAACCATCAAAAGAGGCAAAAACAACAACAATAGAAAAGAAGAA